ACTTCACTAGTAAGAAGCATGATAGAGCATATGGAGTTTCAACACCAGGCATGACCAACTAGATAGATGCACTTAACCGTGCTCTATCTGAACCCAAAGTATGAAACATGATCCAGATGAGATTGAAACTCTCTGAGAGCACGAGAACTTTGGTCTAACCCCCTCCTCCTTCACCCCTTCACTAACTAAATTAAAAGTTTTATTCTCTACCCACAGAAATATCCAGTGTCTGCTGGTTGCTGCTGCCATTTGTAAACTGGGGAAACACCCACTGTGCACATCCTCTAGCTACCTGACCGAGCCTAATTAAAGAAGCTCATAGCAGCCGAGAACTTCGGGGAAGAGGGCATATTAGAATTGTCACAGGTTAATAACTTCTGGATGCAAAACCTCATTTAGCAATCATCTTAGACTAACAAGAGAGCACGAGTTACCACTTCCTTTGGAATTCCATCGAGTTGGAAAGTATTAATGAGTTCCTCACCTTGGCTTTGTAACTGCTCATGGTCTATGTAGTCAATACCAATTTGCTTTCACTCTCAAGGAACCAGAATCAATAAAAAAAATTATTGATTAAAGAAAGATTTGTTATTTGCATATGCTTGTGTGCCTACTGGATTGGCATTTCCCTACTGCCACTTTTTGGCCACATATCTAGCTTAGGTGCTTGAGGACAAAAACCTTTTCGAGGGAGGGCATATTGTTATGAGTCACATGGCCACTGAGAATGATCTACTACTTGACTGCTACAGTGGTTCACACATGGTTACTAGAACAAAATTGTTTTTATTTTATTTATTTAGTTATCTAATTTTATCAAATGATGTAAGTAGTTTTGAGATAAGTGTGAAGATAATTTCTAGGATGAGCAGAAGGATGTGGAGGTAGGTAGTTTATAGGGAGTGAAGGTAGATACTTCTAACTAGGGAAGTTATTGTTCTCAGAAATTATGTTCTCTTTTACAAAAACATAAGAGTGACCTAAATTAGATATGAAAAAAATATATATCCAAAAGGTTTCTTGAGTACTTTAAACTCTGAGAAATTTTTGGAGTCTGTTTTAACGAGCCCATACTATTAACACACTTTCATAACTAAGTCCTAATTAAGGACTATAACACAAGTATGTTAGTCACGAACGAAAAAGAAAAAAAATGAAAAAAAAAAAGAAAGTTACACTGACTAAGTGCCTATTTGGTCAGGCTTCAGCTTTTGTTTTTTGCTGTTAAAAATAAAAATAAAAAAACCTTGTGAGATAAGTATTTTTAGTTGAAGCAAAATCTTTTTTCAAAGATTGAAGTAGATGTTAGTAAGATATAGCTTGTGCTGTGACAAGTGAATAATGTTTTATTATTTTTATATTTTACTAACTTATTTTATTTAATATTTAAAAAATCATGATAGCAATTTATTATCAATACATTTATACTTAATTATAAATTATTTAAAATATTTTTATTTCACAACCAAATAGTGATGATTTAAAATTAATAGTTTACTAAATGATTTACTAAATAAGCATTTTTCATAAATAAGTTAAACTACAAGAAACTTTTTTAAGAAAAATATTTAATATTATCTAAATAATTGTAATATTAATTTTTTTATTGTTTAATTTTGTATTATTTTAACATTAAATACTACTTTTACAACATAACTATTCAATACTTCATACTGTTATTACTTTTGCAACAAGTTTTACATACTACTTTTATCTTAAAATTATTTTACTTAAAGACATTTAATAGTACTTCTAACAAATTCCAAGCACTGGCCAAACCAAATGTTATGCATGTGTGTGTGTATATAAAAATATATGATAAACGATATATGAATTGATAAGAACAAAACTAATAAAAACAAATACATGAATAACTATGTATATGGTATGCTGTGTGTAATTGTATATACGTGTTTAAATACGGATGTGTGTGTATGTATTAGAGATTGTGTGTGCGAATATAAATATATATCCTGTGTAAAACATGTAGTGATGATACATGTATCTATTATAATATATGTATGTGTATTAATATGTGTACACATGTTATGTGTGTGAATGTATAATCCGTGCATATGTAACAGTGTGTGTATTTGTGTTTAATTATGTGTAGAAATTAGGATAATTGTATTCGCATTAGATTAATTACAAGAAGGAATCTTAAGTTAATACAGGTTTTAGATGTTTAAATAAGACACTGAATAAATTGAAAAGATCTAAAAAACAAATACCGAAAAAATATAGAACTGTAAGTTGGTTAGAGAAATAAACTGAACAAACCACTAGGAAGGTAAACATACGTAATAGTTCTAGAATTTAAGTAAATTAGGAACAAATCGCATAACAAGTAGACAGAAGAACAAAAGAAATTTTTAATGATAGAATAAGAAAACTGTGAAGAATGAATAAAACACTTAATTCGTTAGTTGTTAATTGAAGAAGAAAGGGTGCGTGTGTGACTAAAGTTCAACGGGTATGGTGAACCTGCACATAGATAGTTATGTGAAACCTAGTTCAGACGCGGATAGGTATTTATGAGCGTGTGTGTGATATCCAGACCCAAAAAACGATCTGAGATAAATTTTTTATTATTTAATTATTAATCTAAAATAATTGATTAATTTATTTTATTTTTATTTAAGTAGAATTTTGAGAAAAAATGAATTAGGAACGAGATTGAAAACAATTTTAGAAAAAATGAATGAAAATTTGGGTTATGTGAGTGTTTTTGAAAAAAATTCAAAAACATTGAAAATAGAGAGTTAAAGTACAAATAGAGAAAGTTCGGCCACGTAAGACCGCTCAGTCAGCAGTCTCGACAAACCGGAGCGTGCCACGTGGCAAGACAAACTGACGTCGGTGCCACGCTGGCGATCCGCTTGCCCCGCAATCGGACGGCCCAGGATCGATCTCGCATGCATGGACGATCCAGATCCGTTTTTTCCTTTAGGTGCGATCGGATGGTCGAGATTAATCACGATGAATAACACAGATTCGTTTCCTCCTTATGCGCGATCGCGATAGACGGCCCAAATCAACGCTGAATGGTTATATATACTTTGCATCACACGGGAACCTAAACCCTATCCGCCAGCCCCCCGCCGGAGAACAATCAAACGCCGGAGAAGGAGGCCGACCGCCGACCGCCGCCGCACCGGAGCCACCACCAAACGCTAAAAAAAGTAAAAATTCTCCCTACCTGCTCGGATTTGATTCTGAGTACCCCTGTGGCCAAATCGAAGCAACAGGGACAACGGGTGAGTCGGAAACCGCGAGCAAAACCTGGCGCAGTAACTGCAGCTAAAACCCCAAAATCCCTTCGATGAGCCCCTTCTCGCTTCCTGTTTCACATGATTTTTCGATCATTGTGTTCACTGTCCTTTTCTGTGCAATGTAGCCAAAGAAACAACCTCAGCCACGAAGGAGGATGGGCGAAGCTGCCGCACTCGGAAGTACCCCGCCAATAGGTTCGTTTTTTTGTGATTTCCTGGCCAACCGAGACCCCTAATGTGTTTTTCTGCAGGGAAACGGCTAAAACTTGTCAAAACCGACCAAGTTGAGGCAAACTGTCGCTGTGGGTGGCGGAGCCAGCACTACCGTACCGGAACCCCAAAATTGGCCAGAATGAGTTTTGAACACCGATTTTGAATTTTTGGAGTATTTTTAGATATGTGACGAGTGTTTTGAATTGTACATGAAAAATTCAGGAAACCTGGTACCCGTTAGGAGGCGTACTGACAACTCGACATCTCAAAACACCGATCCGGATAAGAATCTCTCACCCTATTCTCCGTTACGGTAAATTGAAGTTTAACGATATATAATTTTATGTTTTCGTGAAAAATTAAAAAACCCTAAAAATAATTATAGGTTACTAAATAGAGTCAGAACCAGTTAGTTCACAATTTTCTTGATTTTCTGTTTATTTTCTTACACTGTCCTACTTACTTGATTTTCGTATAATACATGTTCTTAATTTATAATTCAATAATCTTATCAACTTATCTAGTTATTTTGGTTATATACTGTTAGCATAAATACAG